GCAAAGTCTAATAATTGTCACAGGTAGCAGATATAACATTAAGTACATCCTGACAAAAGATTAATAGCAGGGGTGCTGCACTGCAGGACTGAGTCAGGTAACCAAATGAGTAAATGTCAAATGAAGGATTATCCTCATTTGATGCTATTTCATCCGCCTCCTTTCTGCATAATCTCTCCCAGCTGAGACCTAAACCAGGTGTTTTCAAATGCACAAAGTAGAAGCTCTACCTGGTGTGCTAAAGATCCACTATTAGCTGTCAGCAGGAGCGACATCTTCTTTTCAAGCACTCAGCCTGCAGTCAGGATACAGCACTACGCTGCCAGCTGACAATGACAGAGCGCCCGCCAAGCCAGGCTGTATCTGGATTGTGCTGAACTATTATTATTTATTATTCAAACTGCAGTAGTACCCACGTCAGGGACCAGAGCCCTTCCGCGCTCAGCTCTGGAAAAACACAGCCCAAAACGGGGCTCCTCTCATTCGATTCCATCCTCAACATCCTACAGTGCTCACACAGAGAGGCACGTGCTGAAAACCTCTGTGAAGCACGGGATGTAGCTTCACAGTAGCCAGAGGATGTACTCTTTTTTTAGCCAATGCAAAGACCTGGAGATCCTGGAGACAATTTCTTAACACAAGCAGCACCTCTGCAAAAATAGGTCAATACAGCGTCGAGCCTACAAAATCAAACAAGCAAGAACTAAACCTCCCATGCCCTCCTGTGCTCACTCATCAGCCTTTAATTATCTGACCACTCACCCCTTTTTTCCCCGCAGGATTCATAGAATCATAGAATTGTCCAGGTCAGAAGGGACCTCCAAAGGCCATCTAGTCCGACCCCCCCGCAGTCAGCAGGGACACCCCCAACTAGACCAGGTTGCCCAGGGCCTCGTCAAGCCTCACCTTGAATATCTCCAGGGATGGGGCCTCAACCACCTCCCTGGGCAACCTGTTCCAGTGCTCCACCACCCTCACAGTGAAGAACCCTCTCCTCATCTCCAGTCTCCTAATCTCCATTTGTACCTCGTTTGGTGCACAAGATGCATAAAAAGCCTTCAGTGAGAGACTCTCTGGTATTTCTCCTCTCCTTGCCCAGAGTATTGCCCACCGGCCTTCCTTCCATCATACGTAAACCTTTGGTGAACACACAATCACTGACACCCTCCTGAGCTCCTCTGTGAGCTCCTCTCCGCGCTCATCACTGTACATTTTCAGTGCTTCACAAAACATTAACGCTTTCAACCTCCCTCTGAGCCTCCACCACCTCAGAGGTGAAGGGGAAGGACTCCTGTTTTGCACAGCCATGGGAATCAAAGAAAGATGACGCTAAAACATGCCACTCGTTGGGGTTGCCCAGCTTCAGAGACCTGATCTCCTGTGTCAGTTAACATCACACAGCACATTAAATGTTCAAAACAGCTGTGGGTAGCTTCAAGCCATGGCTGTGAGCAATTTGGCTCCTCTGTGGAATTAAAAGTGTTAGCCTGGACCTCCAGAAGACAAATTGTATGAGCCTGGTGGTCACCTCTGACTAGTTCTGTTTTGCCCAGCATCAGGCTGGGACTGTTTTGCATGAGCAGGTCTGCCCTCCAGGCAGCAAAGAAACAGGTATGAGGCTCCTTCTTCTTTTCCAGCTGCCTGGGAGAGGTGAGGTAGGGTCTCCTGTGGCTCTGGCTGACCAAGAGGATGTTCAGCCTGTGCACTGAAGCAGGTAGGGACCCTGTGAAAACACACTCCACAACCCTGAAATTAAAGATGGTATCAAAGCACAATCACAAGGGGGCAGTACCTTCATTCTCCTTAATGACCGGCTTCTGCATGCTTTATTTTGCAGATTTTTCTCTCTTCTAGAGAAATCCTATAGAATCACAGAATCATTTCGGTTGGAAAAGACCTTTAAGATCATCGAGTCCAACCATAAAACTAACACTGCCAAGTCCCTAAGCACAACATCTACAGGTCTTTTAAACACCTCCAGGGATGGTGGCTCAACCACTTCCCCGGGCAGCTCATTCCAATGCTTGGTAAACCTTTGGGTGAAGAAATTTTTCCTAATATCCAATTTAAACCTCCCCTGGCTTCCTCTCGTCCTATTGCCTGTTACTTGGGAGAAGAGACCGACCCCCCCTGGCTACACCCTCCTTTCAGGGAGTTGTAGAGAGTGATAAGGTCTCCCCTCAGCCTTCCTTTCTCCAGGCTGAACACCCCCAGCTCCCTCAACGTGGTTCCTGGTCTGACTCCTGTCTCCTCTGAAGATTGCTTGCTTTTTCACGTTCAGGGAAGGCTGTTATGGCTGGGCAGACACTTTAACCTCCACAAGCTTCCTAAGGACGTACCAGCTTAACAAGAGCTGCAGCTGCAGAGAAAGGTCCTCCTTCCTCTCTGTGGGCCCTGGACTGGAACGTTGCTCAGCCTATTTAACACATGCTAATAGAAACCTCTTAAGGGCTTATCGCTTGGCTGAACGGGACAATTTCTCAAGAACAGGAAAAATCCTATCTGTAGCATCTAGGCAACATCCCTGGCAAGTTTTAGCTTCTCCATGAAAAGGTAGCAAGAGGTCTTCTGCTTTGTACAGGAAAGTCTCTTCTTTCCCTCACTTCACTCTGATAAATTAATAACTTTGTTGAAGCCTTTAGGAAATACACCGCATTAGATAGGTATCTGCCATCAAAAATGCTGCCAAGTGTAAAAGTGATATGAAACAAAGATCTAAAAGTAGAAGGACTGTGTGATATTAAGTATAGTTAATGCTATTACGTTGTCTAAAATACAAACCCTTCCTGTCTCACAATTCCATCTAGTGGCCTGCTGAGCTGTACCATTTTTCTTGCAGCAACTCCTCTGAGATTTACCTGCAAGTTTCCAGAAGCTGGGATTTTACAGTAGGAAAAGTTTTTTCTACGCTTTGATCACTGTCGCAGTCGAGATATCAAGTGGGATGAACCTACAGTTTGATTCAGTGCAGCAGTTTTTGGGCTGGAAGCATTCTTTACAAGACAGTGAGCTGCAATAAATTAAGCTTTTACAGATAGCCTTGTTGCTGTTTAGTCTTGGAATTTATTAAAGCAATGCAGTGTGGCTTGGGTTTAATACCTTCCATCCCTGTTTATTTTGGTGTCACTCTTTTGTAGACACGTGCACACAGGAGAAGTTAAAAGGCATCAACAGAGGTGAGTTGAAAAGCTGGAAAAAAAGCTAGCTCTCTTCCTTCCCTTCCTTTCCGCTGGGAAGAACGGGAGGTTTACATTTCCACAACCTTCTTCAACAAAACTATTCATTTGACTCTGGCTCTGCAGGGATGGCCCTAAGGTTTGTGTTCTATGTGTCAAAAACATATACCAACCATTTTCAGCTGGGGAGGAAGAGTAAAAGGAGGGAAGACTTAACTCCACTGCAGAGACTATGCCAACTTTCATGCGCTATTTGCTTTACCAAAGCAACGAGCAATGGAAAAGTAGGTTAGTAATTGAAGTGCCACCCCATCTTAATGACAGTGGGGATAGCACACCTCCACATTTAACAGATTTTTAACATATTTAACAGATGTGATCCAAAGCTGCAGCCAGCTATTGACATAAATCACATTCCACATTATGGAGCTTCCTAATTTGGGCCGTGGTTATACAGATTGCAGAGTTGTATGGCAGAGCTATGATATTATACCTGTGAAATACTATACAGCTATTGAAGTCCAGCAGAGCTACGAAGCACGATTATTTGAAAGAAGTGCTTAAAAAAACCCAACAGCACTTATACTAATATCAAATATTTACAGTGCTGTCACTTTCAAAGTTTGGCAGGCTCGTGGTTTCTAACACACTAGTTGCATGCCCCCTTTTCTCCAAAAGTGCAAATCCCCACAGCCAGTTTTTGAAGTTGTAAGTGTAACATTTTTGCTGGAGAGGCACGTTTGAGCCTTGCCAAAAATGGGTCTTTTAGATCTCAAGAAACTGCTGTGGGGACTTGCTCCTTAGCCTCATTGCAAATTGAAGGTGGAGGCTGCTTTTAAGCCAGGGACCGGCAGCACTCCTTGTTTGAGTGCCATAAATCCAAACCCAGTATTTTTCTGAGACTTTGGAGAGGTGAGGGTTTTTTTTTCTTCAGAATACCAAAGGAGCTTTTCTCAGTTAACATATAGCAATGTCACAAATACAAGAATGTTCTGCAACTGCATCTCCATTCTTTCTCCTGCTTCTCTTTATTTTCTTCCACTCCCTTTTCTTTTGACATTCTTGCTTTTGTTCCCTCTCCCTGTGCCCTGTTTGCTTCCCTTTCCTTCTTCTTCTTCTGCCCACCTCTTCCTTTGCTACTCTGCTCTTCTGCCTCCAGAACAATAATTTTTGGGCTGTTTTCTTGTGCATGCAAGTGAAGCAGCCAAGTGAAAATCACAGCATTTCTGATGATACAGGGTGATAACAGGCCTTCCTTGGTACAAAAACAAACAAAAAAGACAATTTAGCAAAAGAAAGTCGAATCTTTCGATATATATTAACTAAAATATGAAAAAAAAAACAAACCAAACTTGGAGATGAATACCAAGAAGTTCCAGCCAAGTATTTTAATTGAACAGTACCATACATCTGTGCTTTATTCTCTGATTATAACACAGCAACATTTCACTGTCCGTTACATCTATGGCTAGAAGAACCCAAGTGACTCAAGTCCAAGTCCTTAAGAGCTATCCTGGAGCTGCTTCTCTGAAAACAGATTTCTGAGCACAAACACACCCCAACACTGCTGGACAGATAGAGTATTACCTGCACTGGACAGTAATATGCCAACAGTCCCTTGTGGTTACCTTTTTGAGTAAGAAAAGTAAGTGCTTTGTACTTTAAATTAAGCTCTGGTGCGCATACATTAGAGAAACTGCAAAATACACATAGTCACAAAACAAAAGAGTATTTAAAGATGAGAGTATACATTCACATTTGCACACGTGTGCGTATGACACATAAATGAGAATACACAATACAGGTGGAAAACGCTATTCTTACCTTATTGCACTTGCAGATAAGTGGCCATAAGAACCACTGGCTGAGGAACTGCTACGAGAATTATTGAGAATTGTGACCAAGGAGTTTGGAGATGTCCGTATCATGGTCTGAAGGTCAAAGCTGTGATCAGATAGGGGGGATATGGACAACGTACGCTTTCGGCTCGGTCTAGCTGACAATCTTGGACTCGGAAACCTGGCGCCTGTTATGTAAACACAAATAATTATCCACCAGGGTACTTAATCGCATTTATTTATTATCAGTGATGGGTTGAGGGAGTTGCAAGACACCAACATGCTGTGACAAGCCCACTCTCTCCACTTGTGATCTACTGGCTACGATTGAGGAAAATTAGGAAGAAAAATCTATCTTTCTGTGGCTTACCTCAGGGGAGCTCTGTTTATTAATGTGCAAGCAAAATGATAAATTGCTAAACAAAAGGAAAAGACTTTTATGAGTTATCCCTCTCATTTCTGGTGATTTATGAATCTGATGGCTTCTTAGACATTCACATCATTAATTCAACCATGAGCAATGAGATGGTGGTTCAGATCCGGGCTGCCAGCAAACCCATACCCACATCACTTTAATACATACAGCCAAAGCTAAACTTGTAAAATACAGTGTAGAAATGAAGAGGCAGCTTTTCCTTTGTTGACTGTAATTCCGCCTGGTTGATACTTGATGCACAACTGAAAATAAGGACTAAAAAAGCACTATAAAGGCCAGCTCTATCAGCACTAGTCAAACTGACATTCACAGTATTAGACTGAGAAACAGTCGTCTCTATTTGCATTTGTCCAGGTTCCCATGATATTCTTGTACTGGGGTGTACAGGGGCCTACGATTGCCAAATTTCTTTAAAACTAGAGATTAAGCTTTTCATAGCAGCAGAGAGAAGGCAACCACACAGATACCTTTTAAATAAACGCATATTCCATTTCTAAATTTTCTGTGCTGCTTTGAAAATCTCTACCTCTTCTGGTCTATTTTACCGTGTCATCCCAACTCTCTGCAGTTCTGACGGAAGATGTATCACCTTAAATTTCTTCCCTTTATTTGATTATTTTCCATCTTGGTTGAGACCAAGGAGGAGAGAATTAGCTTCCCCACCGCATGCTGAACTATTTCCTTTAGCAGTACTGCCACTTCTGCCTCTTTAATCCCCTTAACCTGTAGTAAAGGACTGACTCCTAACAATCCTGACAGCCAGGGTCATGCAGGTCTTGGGTTTGATGCCTACTTTACAGCTACTTCTCCCAGAGTCCCTGACATTCTCTGCAACTTGCTAATAATTCACTGTTGGCCACAAGCCTCCATTATAGGTCTGCCTTTCCTAATTCTTCCTCCTGCCTTGGTGCCCAGGACCATTTTTCAGCAGGGTATTTAAGCTTGCAGGCATAACAATAACCAGGAGAAGAACTCAGCTGACTCCAATTAGACTCACCTCACGGACAGAGCTGGATTTGAATCTGCCATTACATTTTCCTTACACACCTGAGCGGGTTTGCCCTTCTTGCTGTGCGTGCTACACAAGATTTTCATCTGGTATTAAAAGCTGCCATTTGATTGCTGCTCTGACTGTGTGATGGGATCTCCATCCACAGTCCTCCTAGACTCCATCCGTGTTTAGATTTGCCTTAATTAGCCAACATGGGTGTCAATTCTCTTTGGCCTTTGGCTAATACAGAGCTTTTTCCTCCGTGCTCTCTCTCCACAATAGGCCTTAGCCCACACTGCTTCAGTCTTTCAATATTCATGCTCTTGATTCATCATTTAAAAACTTAGGTATAACCATTTATTCCTAAAAGCTACTACACGTTATTTTATGTAATCTGTTTTATCTCCTTTTTATGAGCTTGCTATTGTACTGTGTCTGCTTGATATTTTATTAGTGCCGCGCTTCGTCTCTTTCAAAAGCAGAGATCTTTTATTTGTGCTAAAATAAAAACCAACAGAGATCAGCAGCTCTAAGAAGCTGCAACATATTTCATAAGGAAATGCAAAATACATGTAACGGTAAAACAAAAATAGTAATACTTTGCAGCTACATCCATACACAACTATCCTCTGCTGACTTTTCAGCCAGCATGAATGAGAGCAACACCTCTGAAGTCAGCAGTGATAATATAATGTGCCTCAGCTAAGGATACAATCAAGTGCTCTATAGTGAATAAACTCTGTTATCATGGTTGTACAAGGGGATAGCTAAGTCCAGGTGTTCCTGGTTAACAGCAAGTGAAGGGGACACTGGCCGACCAGCAAAATGAGATGTTACTCATGCTCTGCTACCACAGTATCCCATGTTCCTACCAGCCATCACAGCATCACATGTTCCACAGCATCCTATGTTCCTACCAGCCATCACAGCATCAGATGTTCCACAGCATCCTATGTTCCTACCAGCACACCTAATGGGGTGCTACATATGACAGCAACAGTTTGCAGTCATGTGAACTTAATTATGAACCCTCTGTTTTCTGCAAAGTGATGGGCATAGACCTCATCATGCCAGCAAGACGGCAGCAGAGATGCTCAGAGGGGACAAGCACATCTCCCTCTCTTACGATAAGACCTCATTAAACTTCTTTATTTCCAACTAAGAGTCACCGTGTGCTACTGACGGCCGTGTCTGAACAGTTTCAAATGTGATTTCCAGGAGAAACACTTTCGAAAAATTACGTCTTACAGATCTGAAGTCCAGTTTTGAATCCATACAACTACAAAGGGATTGCCACTTACTTGAGAAATTAATTACGAGCCTGCAAAATATGGACTGATGGCTACTGATGCTAACTAGAGAGGGAGTGCATAGGTTTGATCAAAAAAGAGGAGCAGCTGTTAACAATACTAGCATCTGAGCATCTCTCCTTTGAAGCTAGACTGGGCAATAAAAGCAGGAGAGGACAGTTGTGTTTTGCTGCTCCTGCGATCAGACCCCTTTCATTCTCCATGCCACAACTGCCCACGTGGACTCGTTGGTACTCCAGCCCGCATCTCAGAGAGGACTGAACAAGCATTACCAACAACTGCTCAAAGCTGCTATGATCTTGGAGAGAAGCACCGTCACCCTTGACAGATCACACAGGAGGGAAATTTAAACTCCCTGTGGTGCCCTGCAGATTCTCAAAAACTTCAATGACTTCCCTCCTCCTCCTCACCCTTTCTGGAGTGAGCCTGCCTCCTTTACCCCTTGCCTAAGTCATGCTACGGCTCTTGTAAGAGGCGCCCACCAGTCACTAAACCTCCCCCTTGCCTGCCAGGGCATCCTTGTCCCCGTTCTGTGGGGGATGCACCAGATCTGCAGGCAGTGATGGAGAAAGATGCTCCTTCCAGCTGCGAGTGGCAGAGCCTGGTCTCCAGCCACACCACCCAGCAGTCTCAAGGCTCCTTTTTCTCCTCCAGGCAATGCCTGTTTCAGGCCCCATCTAGATCTGGGAATTCAGCAGACCCCTCCATCTAGGTGGGATGGAAGCAACCTCATAAGGGCCAACAGTCTCCTGCAAAAAGGGAATATTTTTTGCTTCACAGCGGGAGCCAACAGCTGAGGCCAGGCAAGAGTCTTGACCAGAGGGGAGGGGGATTCGCTTCAAGGGAGGCCACGACTTTCAAAACTGAAAATACAATTAAATGGAATTACTGTTTTTTCAGATCTTGGTGGTTTAATTAGGTTTCACATGCCTAAAAAGTCTTAAGCATGAGCTGACCCACTCGTTACGCTGCAGGACGTTTGCTAAACCATTCATTTAGCATAACATCAGTCATAGTTAGTATGTTACTATAAAAAGGAATAGGTCACAATTTGTCAGGGCCTCTGAATACTAAACCAAACTTCTCAGCCTTGCCCAGGCATTTATTTTAAAAACAAACACTTCAATATTTACCTAGCAATTTGAGATGTTCATCTGCTCACAGTATTCTCCCACCGAACCATTACATTCCCTACTCAATAATACTTTAAAACCAAAGAATGTAGGAGCACTGACTCACTAAAAATCCATTTACCTCTGTGCAAGTGCTGAAAAAAAACCCATCAGCTTTGGCAAAGCACGCAAATGGAAGATGACAGTGAAGATTTGTTTAGGAATGTCATTTTTTTTGGAGTAGACCTTGCAGTAATAAATAGTCAGCAGTTGATAGTAAGGACTTGAGTGCGCCGACAAAAAAACCAGCAGATGTCAGAAGAAAAGATCTTGTTCCTGGGGTGGAGATCAATTCTAAAATAACAGATATCTATCTCCATCATAAATTTCAAAAATGGAATATGCCATCCAGCAAATTTGCCCATGAATTTGATTTCTGAGTTGAAGTTTTTAGCATTGCTTAATCATTTATAAGGCAATCTTCAGACATGTATCATTTATTCCATCCCTTTAAATCAAACTTCATCAAACCCTTTTTATTCCATCCCTTTAAATCAAACTTCTTTGGATCTGTCTCAGGCACTAGTTTTTGTTGAAGGCTGTGAACATGGGAAGTTCGATTATTATTTTTAACATTAAAGCTTTTTTTCTTCCTTTCTTTTCCCTCTGGTTTCTGCCCACAGATGCGTAAACTTTGTTTTCACTTCATGAAAGTTTGTCATAAATTTTGTCTTAGTTTTCAAAATGGTAAATCTGTCATCAGCATGCGGGGAAAAGGAATGACTTTTCTACTCCACCCTCATTCTGTAAATGCGCCTAAAAATCAGAAACCAAACCCAGTCCAAAGCTTCTCACATTGGCTTAACTCTTCAAGCTGGCTGAATTCTTTACGTCAATCGGGTGGCTTTCAGTGTCTCTAATGCCAAAAGGGGTAGGTCAATGCAGAATACCTTTAAAAAAGAAAAGCTTCCCATTCTGACTGAACATACGCAAAAGCTAATCAGAGTGAGGATATTAATACTTTCTGGGTGAATTTAGAAATCTCAGGGAACACATTTGCCTTCTACTGAACGTCATTTAAAAGCAGCGTAAAACATCTTCCCCAAGTGAAAAATCCAGGTATCAAATCCAAAAGGCTGTGATTTTTTGAATTATTAAAGTGCTTAGAAGACAGTTTTGGCATACAGTATCTTTACAGCCACGACAAGGAATTTCAGTTGTTGTTACTGTCAATACCTTCCCCGCCTGCTCCCTTCCTAGTTAGACGTTATCCTCAGAGGTAGCAGCTCTGACCCTTTGAGATCAAGCAAGAAGACAGCAAGGTTTGGTCAGGGATTCTGACTCCCCAAAACTGTAGAAAAGCTTTAAAACAGCAAAGAAAATTCTGGTCCACTTTTGATGCCACACAGGACAGTATGAGAAAAAATGACAATCCAGCGTACCCAATCTTGGCCTTATTCTTCCACAACCTACTAGACAGTTCATGGACAGTGAAGCTCAGAGCTTCAAGAAGTCTACTGCTCTTTAGGCAAGATTTAATTTTCTGATTAACGCTTCTCCCACTCATATCACCCCCATTTTAAAACCAGTTTTCCAGGACCACAGAACACAACAAAAGTCCCCAAATGGCACAAACTGTATGTAACATGCTTTTGTGCCCAGTGCATGTCAGAATTGGAATTATTATTTGTACTACAGCAGAGGGTAGAGATGCCAAATTAACTGTGCTAGATGCTCTATAAACACACAATTAGGAGACAAACTTGCTTCACAAGAGAAGAACAGTGTCTCGCTTGTATCTATTTGGTTGTTGTGCGGAATAAACGAGCAGGAGCCTTTGAGTGAGTTGAGTCAACTTGCTCAGAATTTGACGGCAGATAATGAGGGAAACTACCAATCTCTCTTCTGTTCCCTTTGACGAGACTGGGCAAAGGCAAAAGACTACTTTTAAGATCACCACACAAATCCGCACGAAGAAAGATCCAAACAAATGGCATTGCTTTGCATTGATCACTGCACTTTGTTATTAAATGCAAACATGGGCATTCTTATTGTTTTTTTTTTTAAACAAGTCTTAATATCGGCTTCCTGCTAATTGTTTTGTTCTTGTTTCTAATCTAAAATTCTGACAAAGAAGAAAGGGGTTTTCTTTAGCATGATGAATGATAGGACATTCAGATTCCTACTTAATGACAATTAATTTACTGTATACCCATGCAAGTTAAGATAGTTTTAATTAGTTTTTACAAAGTAAAAGGGTAACTTCATACTCTATTTAGATAAAAGCAGCTATTGCCTGACTAAACACATTCTCATCAAATACAGAAGGTGAGCTGAGTGACCTTACTGGGATTCACTCTTATTTTAATTCTCTATTTACTGTTTAAAAATAACCCATTTGCATAATAGTGCTACACATTTTTTGTCTTTAACTCTGAAATAATCCCTAATTGAAAAGTTGCTGCTATAATGAATCTCAAATGTGTGATCTTAATTTTTAAAAACAAACACAAACCAAATTAAAGAGCGCATTTCAAACATCTCGTGGCTAAAGCTGGTGACAGCAAATATCCTTATTAGAGATAGTGTTCAGGTACTTTTTATGAATGGGCTGAAGTTATGGGCAGAGGTCAAACATTTTTGCTTAAGAAGTGATAACATTCTTCGGATGCAAAAGCTGTAATTCTACGTAGATCACAGCATGCACAATCTCTACTAACACATGGAAGCCCTTTGTGCAAATGCCATTAATTGTAGGAGTGCTGCAATGTCTTCTGTTTTTCTTTTCTGGAATACATCTGGCTATCTATCTTCCTACAGACTGAATAGATCCATTCAATCAAGTCTGCATACAAATATGTGGTTTCTTACTGCTACCTACGTGCATTCCAAAACTCTCTCCCAATAGGAACCAAAAACATCGAAAGTATAAAATACCCCTGGTCGCTGCAGGGGGGTTGAACTGAATGACTTCATAGGTCCCTTACAATCCAAACTGTTCTATGATTCTGTGACGCCTTTACTTCGATGAAGTCACGTCCATTCACACAAGCTGGGGACTTGTCCTTGCAGCTGGAACACAGCAGGAGATTTACATTACCTAAACCACGCGTAACAGAGTTTCCATTCTGCAAAACATTATTAATATGCATCAAATGCATTAGCAGTGTACTTCATCTCTCTCCATTCCTCTCAAAATCCAAATCAGGAGTCTCACATTCTTAACCTCTCGAGCACTGAAGCCTACACATTGATTCCTGGTTTAAGTCCAGACTACTTGTGTGGGTTTATTATGTTTCTGAAGTGGGTTCAAGGTACGTTACACCACTGTGAAATCACTACGTACGCTACCAGGGCAGTGAGACTGATTAACAGAAAGTGATTTAAAAAACTTTCTCTATCAAGGTAAAAGACTGAAAACAGTTCCCCTGCTCAGTTCCACAACTGCCTTGCCCTATTCCTGTAAAAATTGTTGGTCAGTCTCCACTACTTCACGCTCCCAGGCATGTGCTCTGCAGAGGCAGCTATCTATATCCCCATGGGTTCCTGAAGGGAACCTCCCAACTCCCACACTCCTGGAGATCAGCAGCCGTGGCACACAGCCAACAGCAAGGAAGAAGGTGGTGAGACACTGGAACAGGTTGCCCAGGGAAGTTGTGGCTGCCCCATCCCTGGAAGTGTTCAAGGCCAGGCTGGACGTGGCCTTGAGCAACCTGGTCTGGTGGGAGGTGTCCCTGCCCAGGGCAGGGGGGTTGGAACTTGATGATCTTTGAGGTCCCTTTCAACCCTAACCATTCTATGATTCTATGATTCTAAGAAGAAAATGCATGCTAACAAAGGTTTTTAAAAGCTGGGGGACAACAAGGTGGTCCAACGCTATTGTACTGCTCTGTGCTACCAAGCAAGAGTCAACAGTCACCACCTTTCCTCGTCACCGCCTTTTATTTCCCTTGTTGGAAGGAACCAAGTACATCCCAAAAAGTATCTAAGCATCTTATGACCGGAGGGGGGGTACTCTGCATAATCCCTTCTGGCTGATCAGAAGCAGCAGTAGTGAGCAGTCTGGAATGGGGTGGCCTCTTTTCTTCCTTCACCAGAGAAAGGGAGACAGATTAGAGGTGTGGAAGATGCTAAAATAGGTAAAGGCGGCTCCTAATATTACGGAAAACTAAATCAGGATCCTTGAGAATTCAGCAAACTGCTTCACTTTAGAAGTGGTCTCAAAGTCTAATATTACGGAAAACTAAATCAGGATCCTTGAGAATTCAGCAAACTGCTTCACATTAGAAGTGGTCTCAAAGTCTATCAATCTGATACAGAACTTCTAAGCACAGCTACCACTCTCTAAAAGTTAGGGGCACATGTTCTCCTAATGGAAAAACAAACATAAACCTTTTATTAACGAAGAGCTCATCAGGGAAATACCCTAACGACGAAAGGAATTGTGAATAGAATAGGACATTTCCAAAAGCACTCAAGTCCTGCTGGAAATAAATTTTATAACCTGCTTTTCAGGAGCAGTCCTGTTCTTCTCCCTACTTCATTTCAAAGTTTACTTTCAGACTTGACATAACCCTTGTTCATCTGGCCATCAATGCTTTGGTCCTCCAACCTCATTAGGAGGCTTATGTTGACTTCCACTTCCCTCTCTGCACGGATGGCCTTTTGGGTCAGACCAGGAAAAAGCCATGTGGTTCCTTTCATAGGACTGTCTATATTTCTAGAACATGTCACTTACTATCCATGGCGTGAAGATACTCCATGTGAAGAGCACCAGCTCCTGCAGTGGCAGCTGAAGGGATGATGTCTGCGTAGGGGCTGCGCTGGCCGGCCAACAGAGCCATCTGATGGTAATATTCAGCTGGACTGACTCCAGCATGTGGAGCTGGAAAAAACACAACATAAACAGCGCCGTTAATGACCTAAGATGTAGGAGAGGGAAAGTTTTATCACATCGCCTGTTCCTCTGGCTATTAAAACAGCTTGTTTATTTTTTAACCTAATGCAACCTCTGCAGTGTGCCACCACCAGTCAATATATTTCAACCAATGATACTGCAAGGACACCGTTGAAAAAACAGCAAGGCATAAAATATTAATGAGTTCAGTGAGCTCATACTTTTATATTTATTATTAAGTGACTCAAAAAGTGACAGGCTGACAGCAATGGAAACTAGTATGATTTATTTAGTGACATAAAAAAGCAGGAAAGCCTTCCTAGACCTTTATTCCCATTTACCTCATTCCTGGCCCAAAGGACTCCGTCTCTAGTTAACAATGAGGCTGAACTTCCATAAGTTTCTGGAGTCTCTGCTTAGAGAACCAGGAGATTTTCACTCAGAGTGGCAGTTTGTGTATAAATTTAGGAGTAAACAAGGACAAAGCATGTTTTCAGGACAGATACTAGTTGCCCATGAACAAGACAGGGGCAGTTTTTTGGGAAGGCAGACTGAAGTCAATGGATGTGGCCATCCCATCCTTCAAGGTTCATATAGAAGTGTACTTGACATACAAGACTGTTTGCAGAGTCAACACCACACATGGGATAGACTCTAGAACCTACAGTGGGATTATGAGCGATGCAGTCCTCTGATAATGACTTATTTAGCCTTTTTCTCCTGTAAAAATACTCTAGGAGCTTTCTGTTCCCCTGCAGTTTTCAAGCATGCCATCAGCTAATGGGCAACTCTGAACAAACACAAAAATCCACATAATTTTGATATCATCTCATCTTAGCAGGCTTCAGATGCTACAGTAAGTTAAGGGTCATTTCATATTCATAAAATAAGCCAGGCTCCATCTCCTTGATCCTGATTCTGACTTGCTGTATGACCTGAGCAGCTTTCCTCTCTGCTTGTCCTACTTGCAAAACAGAATTTCCTTATGCTCTGCTCACCATAAGACAGTACATAAATTTGCTTAAAACACTTCAAGCTCCTTAGGATATACCCCAATGACTTTCTTTATATTCTTTCACATTATTTAATGAGATTTTTCTTTGATCCCACCAACGGAATCTTGAATGGAAACAAAATTTTCGGCTGAAATTCTCTGAATTACGAACTTATTCTGAACATTGTTATTTACACAGTATTACTAAAAGGATAATTCATGTTTACATTAGAGAATCAGATCCTAAATGCAAACCTTAGAAGCACAGAATCAACATTTACACTGCAAGGAGGTAAACATGGCATTAGAGTTTGGAGAAAAGTTTATTCAGCAACATTTTTCTAAAGTGTATTTTTTCCAAAGTTTATTTTTTTATCAAGTAAAATGGAAGAATGTACTTTTGATGTTATCATGTGAAGTAAAACCAATTTCAAGTAAGGTTCAGAAAAATAAAAGTACATCAAACAGGAACAGGAATGGCATAAAAAATGCGCTGAGATAAACTGAAGGTTGTTGGTATTTTTTCCAAATTACGAATTGATTCCTCAACTAAATGTAATTTACTTCAGCCACCACCACTTTCTGTGAAATGGCAAGCAAACTATTCAGGCCAAATTTCAAGAGAAGTAACTCACACTGAATCACTGATTTTAAATATTTTACAGTAGTAGGCAACCATCGTATCTTTCCAGACACACTTAAAATACTTCCTGAGCTTTCTGACATAAGTGTCTGGGTTAACTAACAATAACATTGGCTGCAAACTTTAAAATGAACTGCTGCAGAAAACACAGTGAGCACATAATTGCATTACTAAATGTTCCATACGCCGAGAAATGCTCTGGTGCTCTTTAAAGATCACTCCTTGCTAACCTTCTTCAAACATAAAAAATTAGCCTACTAAATGATGTATTGCGTGGAGGGTAAATGAAGGGTAAACGGGAAGGTCCGCAGCCCTGATTTTTCTCCTGTTTATTCCTGGGTAGCTTCAGCTTTGCCCCTGATTTTTTACAAGGGGAGGCATTTCCTTCTGCATCGTGGACACTGCTTTTGATCATCGAGTTCCAACCCCCCTGCCCTGGGCAGGGACACCTCCCACCAGACCAGGTTGCTCCAAGCCCCATCCAGCCTGGCCTTGAACCCCTCCAGGGATGGGGCAGCCACAGCTTCTCTGGGCATCCTGTTCCAGTGTCTCACCACCCTCACAGGAAAGAATTTCTTCCTGGTATCTAAGCTAAATCTCCTTCTTCCAATTTAAAACCATTACCCCTTGTCCTATCGCTCCACTCCCTGACAAAGAGTCCCTCCCCATCTCTCCTGTAGCCCCTTCAGATATTGGAAGGCCATTATAAGGTCTCCCCAGAGACTTCTCTTCTCCAGGTTGAACAACCCCAGCTCTCTCAGCCTGTTTTCATAGCAGAGGTGCTCCATCCCTCTGATCATCTTTGTCACCCTCTGCTGGACCCGTTCCAACAGGTCCATGTCCTTCCTGTGTTGAGGACTCACGTTCCAGACTTATATTCCAGATTATTTTGGCTCCTGGCCATCCCCAGGTCTGTGAGCCCACAGACTGAGCCCATTGGTATACTGACCTAATTATTTAACTGGCCTAAAGCAATTAAGGTAGCAAGAGAAATCTCGCTATGACTTTCGGAAGAAAAGTAACATCTTCTGAGTTTTCATAGTTCAAATGCTGTTACAACTTAAGCCATGGTGTCCTTTATGTTATTAGTACATTACGTGCATGTACCCCTTTGAATCACAGGGGTGTTTTTTTTCATTTGCATTCTAGTAGTGCTCAAGTCACGACTTGGACTATCTGACCCCAGGAACCTAAACCTGAAAAATACATTTCATTGTATACCCGACTGATCACACAACGAATTATGGATTCCAGAGAAAAAAATTTAACAGCTTTTCAATAAGCATGTTGTTTTACTGAAATATCTCCAGTGCTTCAATCAAGTTACTGTATTTTTGTGAGGGGCTGCACAACACCTGGGCTGTGGTAACTGATCAAAGATGAGCCGTGAGCCTTGAGGACACATGAAGTAACACGTATTTGTTTAAAACCAAAAGAAAGAAGCTTAAGCCAGTTAAGTTTAGCTTGTATTTATGAAAGGCTAAGGTTGTGTATACAGTCAGTGATCAAAGCTCAGGGGCTGAGGAGTAAGACAGAGCGTACTCAGCTGTGTGGTCCACACCTGAGTGTCTCATGCCATCTGAAAGCCCGTGGGCATCCAAGGCACCTACATGAGGCTGGCAGGCATGAGACAGGCCTTGGAGGAGAAAACTGCCTCGTTGAGGTGGCAGCTGGAGTTGAGGCCAGGTATTTCACAGATCTGAACTGGCACCAAACACCTACGTTGTCTTCTAGTTACGACAGAGCTCCAGACTCAGCTGGTAACACGCATGGTGTCTGTATTTGGGTGACCTGACTCCACTGACTGCACTACCTAAAACTTGCTGGACTGTAATGGGAGGACAGCACACCAAGATCACGGACAGATTTCTGTACAGCCAGAAATTTAGGCACCAGAATCCGGAACCAACCTCTACCCTGAGACGTCCTAGAGCTTCAGAGAGATTACCACTGGCCTGGGGAATATGGCAAAGCACTTCACTGAATTTCACTGAATTTTTTAGAGTTAGAAGGGACCATAGAGATCATCTAGTCCAACTCCCCTGCTGAAGCAGGATTGCCTAGAGCTTGTCAGAGCATGTTACTCAGGACAGCATCCAGGAGGGTCTTGAAAATCTCCAAAGAAGGGGACTCCACACCCTCCCTGGGCAGCCTGTTCCAGGGCTCTGTCACCCGCACTGTGAAAAAGTTTTTCCTCATATTTGAGTGGAACCTCTTATGTTCCAACTTGTGCCCGTTGCCCCTCGTCCTCTCACTAGGAGATCTCTGCCATTCTGGAGTATCAGTTGAGTGCCGGGTCCAACACCCCAGCGCATCTCAGACAGCACTATGTGCCCACATCTATGCACATAAATTCTTGAGACCAAGAACGTACACAGGTTAATGTCATAGGGTTGTGTGATGGGTGGGTTTGTTCTCTCCTTTCTTTGTATGTGCAACTGGAGCATTCCTCAAGCATAAATGAAATTTGGCTGGAACATGATCTGAAGATTATTGAAGAAAAGACAGTAAAATGTTGTGCATATTAGCTTTCATGAAAAGCCCAAATACACATTGCAAGATTTTCCCTATTTGTGCCATTACATTACATTAAAGCTCTATCATGTTTATCCTATAGGAAAAGCTCCAAAGCTCCATGAGTCAAAATATTATTTCTTAGCAATCAAATTGTCCCTTCAAAATATTTTTTTGCTATACCTTGGCTAAAATAAAAAGGGTAGAATTAGCAAGGATTCATACAGCATCCAAAGTGCTGCTAAGAAAGCCCTATGTGCATGCCATATACCTTGACTGACAATAGGTCATTAAAATTTATTCTCATAAGAATATGTGCCCATAACTAATGGATTAACTGTAAAGGTATATGTTCTTATAAACGAGGATTAATTAGTTATCCGTTTGGATAGGGTGCACAGCTCATTTTTCAAATTCAGCTAAAGGCAGTTTAACTCTGTTTGGTAAGTTTCTGCATCCACTGAGAAGACCTTTCCCATAGTTAAAATAATAGTTTAAATATCTTCACCATATATTTGCTTCAGAGTATGTTATATTTTAGCTCTCTTCAGCAAATACTACAACTCTGAAATGTTAAACTACTTACTCTGTTATTGAAAAACCTACTGCTAGCAAGACTGAGCCTTTTTGTAACTCTATTCATTGCTCACTTTGGCAAAATTCCCATTGAAAGGAATAGGAAATGCACCAGAGTAATGACAAGAATGACCACGGGAGTCCACTTCAACCCAAATAACCTGGAAAGTAATAGCCATGGTCACACCCAGACCTAAACCATCGATGCTTCAAGTATACTGCCCACCATCAAAACTGAAGGGGCTAGTCCTGATCATCACTTCTACATCAACCTGGTTTCATTTGGCCAAATCACTGGCGAGGCTAAACTGATATAATTCTACATAATTTCAGCAGAACTATTGACTAAATATAACAAGTCAGTGCATGCTTTCCATGATTGAAAACTATGATTTTAATTAACAAGCCTTTTGTGCCTGAAGAACTCCATGGTTATACACGGATCTACACTCACGAAGAATATGGCTCGATTCAGTGCAAATACAACATACTTTTTGGGAGATCAGAATCACACCCTGGGTCAGCTCCACAAACAAAAGATGTCACGAGACACACACCACCCTTCCAGCTTAAATTTTGAATGAGGCAGGGCTTTTTTTTTCTTTTTTTTTTTTTTCTTTTTCCTGAAGTTTCAACCTTTGTGAGATGTACAAATGAGCCATGATCGGCTGATGAAGTATTGAAACATTTATGACATAATGAATATGTCTGACAAACCTGCTGAAGCTGCTTTGAACGAGGGGGGGGGGGAAAATGTTGACAAGATTAATATAACTTAAGTTGCTGCAATGACGGAAAACAGGAAACCTGTCTTAACCCACCGTCTGTTGGGCTGAGGCCGCGGGCTGCCGAGATCATGGAGAGGGACGGGCTGCTGTGCAGGGACCTGATGTAGTCCATGTAGGGGTTGATGTAGGGGTGAGGGGTGCTGAAGGGAGACTCTGAGGTCGCAGCAGGATTTCGGTGCGGGGAAATTCGAAGGAACGGCAGCTCTGAGTATGTCGGGCTACTAGATAAGGCAGAAGGCCTGGAAGGAAAAAAAAAAAAAAAAAAAAAAGAGAAAAACAAACAAAAAACAGCCAGGTTATCTATATGATAAAGAAAAATACTGTAAAGGTAACACGTTCATTTATTGAATAATAACAACTGGGTTGCCCATGTAATAACTTCCACTAAAGTCAACTGCCTGGAAAGAAAAAGGATTGGAAATGAATTCTCCACTGTACCCATTATTAGCAACATTTCTCTGACCAGTTTTAACCTGAGTTTATATTTGGTTTAATCTTTATATCCCTCAATACCCTTTCCCCCTGGGGTTCAGCAGAAAATCACTTTAATTAGTGTGAAATATGCACCCTCTATCCCACGTATTAATTCCTGCTGCGATATGGAAGACGTACTGAGATGCTGAATCATTTAGATCTTCAAAGCCACATGGCTATTGGAAAAAGAGTTTTGAGAGCTACACTGCAACCGCCCCCTTAATTTGCTAGCTTACTCTTCCCAAAAATGCAAGATTGCACGTTTACACAGAATTCATTCCAGAAGAACCAATATTTGTAAGCCATTAAGACAGCTAGATCCTTTGGAGCTTATTTTTGTTGGTGTCCCTTCCCATGAAAGATGCAGAAAACCTGGTGGCAAAGGAAGAAAGATTGCTGCCTGTGTTTGTTTTTAGCACGGCACCGGAGACCGATGCCTCTAACAAGACCATATTAATTAACTACCTCATTCTTGCTGCGGTGCCTTCTCAGGCTACGTGTACGAAGCTGCGATGAACCAAGGCTGAAAGCTGAGTTCACAGCTGCCAAAAGACAAATAACCTGCCTTAACCCTCCCCATCATCCCACCCTGTCGATACGACAGCGTCCAGGCTCTGCGTGGAGACTCTCCTCTCACAGCACCCCACCTCCAAAGGCACTGGAAAAAGTCCAAATTTCATCAGAAGGGGTTGGAGTGCCTGCCCTTGCCAACCTGCTCTTTGGCAAAAGACAATGATTAAGCCTGTCATGCATTTGCTGTAGTCCAACTGGTTGACCTGAACTAAATGCCTTTTTGTCCCTGTTTTTCCAATTAATTTAGCATATATACAGCACAGACACGGGCAGCAGCTGTGAGAGCAGCGAGGGCAGCCTGTTCCTTTGATGCTGTTGGCTTACAAAGAATATTAAAACAAGAAATGTATTTTTTTCCCTTTAACATACACATACCGTGATCAATGGAGATAGTTGTCATCACCTAAAAGGCCAACAGAATGTAATCTTACATAGGAGCCAATTTTGCTCTGCCATCAGCTTGGAAATGCTTGCGTATGAGTGGGAACAAAGATCAAAGTTACACATTCCTAACACGACGCCGGCTTCCCTGCCACTAAATCCATGAGGGCTCATAAAATCGGGGGGGGAATGAAATTTTTTTTCCTGTTGTGCTTTTCTCTCTCTTTCCCCTTCCCTTCCCTGTTTGGCTTTTGTGTGTTTCTTGCCCTCCTATGGCTTTCGGCGAGGTAAAGCCATTTTAACCTTCTTCTATGAAATTACCTCCTAGCTCCAAAGTTTGTTTGCATCCCTTGTGTGCTAGTGGCAGGTACCAGCACCACAATCCCTCCCAAAGGAGGTGCCAAAGCACCTGAAGAAGTGACCCACACGAAGCCCAGTCACTCCACGGGTTACCCCTTCAGCGTATTCAAAATGCACCAAGAACCTGAAACCAGAAGCCATTTTCCACCACTGTGCAAAACAGGCATCTCCTTTCCTCTCTTTTTCTCCACATGGTTTTGAAGCACTTTTGTTTTATGGTGGAAATGCAGCTTTACTCGTGTTGGTACTGTGAAACCCACCCAGCCATAAAGCATTTGCTGTCTCACAGTTCCCCGTCAGGCCAAGCGCGGAAGGCAGGAGCCTTAAAATTCATGGGGATGTAGGAAGCAAAAAAATACCACAGCTGGATATCGTATTAAAGAGTGAATTTCCCATCCTGGCAGTGGGGAAAATACGGTCGTACAGAAAATTGAATACAAAAGTAACAAAGAGACTTAAGTTTGGATGTCATTTCACAAGGAATTTTTTCCAATGTGATCTCAACTCCGAAAGCGTTAGAAACCCGAAGAGCATGCAGGCAAACAGCAGCCCCGGCCTTATCTGGTGCATATCGAACAGAAAACTGTTTAAAAGCTTTTGCAAGAAGGCTGAAAGTCTGTATCAGCCTCGGTGATTCACTCTCCAACTGGCCAACAGCCAAACGCTGCCGCAGGAGCAAGATTAAGAGCCAGGCTGTCAGCTTCCCCCTCCAGATCCAATGGGAGCCATTCAAGGACACTGGGACTCAACCACTTCTCCTCCTCCTCCTCCTCAGCCCTGCCTCTTCCTCTCTCCGTTCCTCTGAGCTCCTCAGTTTTCCAAGGACACAAGGGAAAGGATGCCGACCTGGGTAACATCAATCAACTGTGGGCATATAAGCCGTATTATTAGGGGCAGAAATGAGAGTCATCAGATTCCACATAAAATTCCCAGCTCTGGACTCTAATGTTTACTAAACTCTCTCCAAGATCTGATTTTAACACGCTGCTAACTTCTCCGCTCACTTCCAGACTGTACTTTTCTCACTCCTCTCTGTTTCCAGACCCTCCTTTCCCTACAGTCCCATTTTCCCTCCTGCCTCCATCTAGTCTCAGCTCCTGCTGTGTGAGCCCTCCTGATTTATTCCAATAAATGTCACGTATCCTTCCCTTCCCTTCCCTAACTTCACTACAAACATCTTTCAAAAGTATGGTTTAACTCCCTCCTTCAAACTAAAACGTGACTTTTAGAAAGGGTGCAGCCAAACACACTATTAGCTGTTGCTTTGCAACCTCTTCGTGTATCAATAAATAGTCCACCACCATCATTTTTATTCATACTATCTATGTACTTTGTCCGCAGCCTTGGAAAACAACGTTCTGCCTTGGGCCTGAGGCTGCTTACAATCATAGAATGGTTTGAGTTGGAAGGGACCTTTAAAGATCATCAAGTTCCAGCTCCCCTGCCATGGGCAGGGACACCTCCTACTAGAGCTCAAAGTTCCATCCAGCCTGGTCTTCAACACCTCCAGGGATGGGGCATCCACAACTTCTCTGGACAATGGGACACATTCTCTGGGCAACTTCATGGGACACAATGAGGCTACAGCATGAGAAAAGGCTGGGACATTTTCATTTATGGTGCTTGAAACTTGTATGTTCCGTGCCTGACCTGTCAATCATGGCAGAACTTGCCCTGCATCCTCTCCTACACAGGGGTTTTCCTGTTCAATGACACACTCAGAGCACTAAGGCTTCCTTCAGAGAGAGGGAGAGGAGCAGATGCACACTCTTTTCTGAATCAGGCACTTTGTGTCTACTCGTAGAGATCCTGCACACTCAAATTTAATACAAAATCTATCACACTTTCAATACTAATTTGAAATTAGAAATCTTCAGGTTTGGGAGTAAAAGAGATCCTATAGCTGTGTTTTATCACTGTGATTTTTATCCTGGCACATTAGGCTGATTTTATCATTTTCCCAGTAACTTTGATTACACCTACATCCCTGATGTAAAAGAGAAGCAGCAGAGAATGGAGCTGGCTGCAAAGGTGTCTCCTTTGTTCTGTCCAGACCGCCTTCCAGCTCACTGCTAAGGTGCCAAAATACCATGACTGCCACACAGCTTCCATACCTAACCCAGGTCTTCCCACTCCCCACCCATCTCCAGCCCACCAGCATCTCCCAGTCACAACTCCAACGCTCTGGAGAGCCTCAACTACTCAGCAGGAGAACGGCACCCAGGCAGTGAGATCAGTGTCAGGGCAAACAGGTGTATTTTTTCCTATTCTCATAACACTTTTTTGATGAATGTTGCAGGGGTGTCTGCAGAGTCTTAGAAACTTACATGGTCACACCAGTTCACAGAACCACAGAATCCTCCATGGTTGGAAGGGATCTTTGAGATCATTGAGTCCAACCACGCAAAAAAACCCCAAAAAAACGCCAAACACAAACACACAAACCAACCACAAATAGACACAAACCAACAATCTCAGCCACTAGAGCATGCCCTGAAGTGCCATGTCTACACATTTCCTAAATACCTCCAGGGATGGTGACTCCACCACCTCCCTGGGCAGGCTGTTCCAGTGTCTGACCACCCTCTCAGGAAAGTAGTTCTTTCTAATATCCAATCTAAACCTCCCCTGCCCCAGCTTCAGACCATTCCCTCTGATCCTGTCATTATTCCCTTGGGAGAAGAGGCCAACATCCACCTCTCTACACCCTCCTTTCAGGGAGTTGTAGAGGGCAATGAGGTCCCCCCTCAGCCTCCTCTTCTCCAACTAAACATGTCCAGTTCCCTCAGCCTCTCCTCGTATGACTTATTCTGTAGACCCCTCACCAGCTTGGTGGCTCTGGTGGACATGCTCCAGCACTTCACTGTCCATCTTGTAGTGAGGGGTCAGCAGCTGCCAGCACCATCAGACGTATGGCATATCACAAAACACATGAAGCTACTTCTTTTTTTTTTTTAATGTTTTTCTGACCACCGCAGAACCACAGGTGAGCTGTGTGTAAGGTTTCAGTTATTACTCACAAAAACTGTGTGTCATTTTGTTTTGTTGCTCCCAGCTGCAACCGATGAGCTCTGCACAGGACAACCGACCAGCAGCAGGTCTCAATTTTACCCACCACAAAAACTGAACAAAGTGCAATTCCCTTTTCAGCCCACACAGGCCTTTTTTTTTTTTTTTTAAAACAGCAGAAGGAGGAATCTGCGAGTTGATGCAGCAAGCATGAGTGAGTTATATCTATCTCAAAATGATCTGCACGCACAGATCATTACCCAGTATTATCTTGAAAGGATCACACATTTTTCCCATCAGCACAGAGAACGGGGGCAGAGGGGCTCACACCACACGCTTTAGGTTGTTTCTTGTACCTAAGTATCAGCCAGCTTTTCACTGAAGAAGATCAGATGCTCCAAATCCAAGTGGAAATCCTACCCCTTGCACCTTTCCTCCCACC